AAAGAGAGATTGTGTAGAGCGTTCATTTCAGTTTTTTTTCCAAGTTTGGGGGAGAAGGAGTCGCAAAATGGCGACCCATTTCAAAGAGAGAGAGAAATCGGTGTAGAGCATTTTTAATTTTTTTTCCCAACGTTAGGGAGTCTTAAAAAAATGGTGATCTATTTCAATGAGAGAGAGATCGTGTAGAGCGTTCATTTCCAGTTTTCCAAGGTTAGGGAATCCTCCAAAATGGTAACCCAATTCAAAAAAGAGAGAGGGTATATAGAGTGTTCATTTCCATTTTCCAAGGTTAGAAGGTCCCGAAATACCTTCTAAATTCAAAGAGACAGAGAGAGATCGCGTAGAGCGTTCATTTCCCCCCAATCCTCCAAGATCAGAGAGTCCGTTTTTTTCCCCCCCAAAAATGGTTTCCGTTTCAAACAGAGTGAGAGAAGCGTGGTAAGTCCCGTTCTTCCAAGATGGGGAAAGAAGAAACACCTAGGATGGAATGACACGAAGGAAAAGAGAGAAAAAACGCCATCTTGTCATTTTCTGATAGGGTACCGGTGTTCGAATACTTTTGTGACCGACTGTACACATCAATCTATTTTCATTTAAATAAAATCGGGAAGCTAAAACAAAGTTAAAACTATCGTGGTAACTAGAAGTGAGGTTTCATCGCCAAAATTTTTTTAAAAATGTCGCCAATTGAAGGGGCCCTCAATTCTACACTAAAGCTGATTTTGTATTTATAAAAATCAGATGATCATCAATAAGTGGCAGTTAAATGAAAACATACATTTTGAAGAATTACGAAGAGTAATTTTTCTAACATTCTATGGAAAAATACCAAGCTGAACTCACCTCACAAATACACGCTCCTGGGCCGGGAATCTATTGAGCTCGACAAGAATTAATTATCCATTTTCTTCGTCTTTCTTTATTTCTCGGAAAACGAAATATCCTTATGCTATTTTTAGAATGACTGGAACAATTTGGTGCAGCACATCCACCCATGTTTCTCAAAATTATGTCGGAATCAATCAACAAACATGTCAACATAACATTGCTGATCCAATGGCGGATAGCAACAAGTGTGCTTTGTTGGCTACAAAATGGACTATGAGTCAGCTCCCCTTTATAGTGTTGGGCTGTACATCAACACTCTGTGATGATGTAGGCAACGAAACTTTGATTTATGTACACCACTGTATCTTTCCACACAGTTCCTTGCTACTGCATGCTTTTGGTTATAATTTTCTTCTATATATGAAGAGGGATTTATATGTATGGTGTCAAAAGCCAAAGTTCCAACGGATAACCTTTATCACTTGAAATACTAAAAAATAAATATATGGAAATAAAAATTCCTTGTACAGTTGGAGAAATCTAATATCAGATTTCAAAAGAAAAAAAAATTGTCACCCATTACATTGCAAAATCATTTTAAACTCATTAATCCGAAAGAAAAAATGCATAATTTTTAAGTACAACAATTTGATACATGGAAGACTATAAAAGAATTGTCTTTTATCTGCATTTATTGAAAACATACAATTTTTTAACTTGCATGTGTAACTAAATGCATATAAATTAGGTACATTTTATGTTTAATAAAATTTAGTAATCTATTTCCTTCACATTCCACCAATATTTTAATTACTACTTACAGAAAAAAAGGGTATGAGTAAATACTTCTATAGAACTAAAAATGAAATCATACTTTTATTAGCATATATATCCACTCGCATGTTGATATTGATAACATAATACTTAGTATAATATACTGTATAAAAACACTAGCACATAAAAAATTATTTTTATTTATTATTTCTATAACAAGATATAAATAATCCATCTATAATTTGAAAGAATAATATTATAACAATAATAACAAATACATTCTAAATGCAGACAAGATTAATCAAAACTTGCTACAGACTGAAAAATTGGTACTCAGTTATCGGGACTGGATTAAGGAATGTATATATGTATGTGCCTATATGCGTACACATATACATACGTATGTACATAATTTTTCAGGATTACAAGAATTGAGGGAGTATTGATAACTGACATTTAGTTTCTTCCCCTTGAAAAATTCTTATTAGTGCTTCATTTAATTTCTCAGAATACAAATATGTTTGACAAAATGTGCTTATTTCCTTCTTTAAATAATTTTATTATAAAATTTTGAGCACATATCTATAAGCCAATAGTTTGTCCCTCCCTGCAGTGCCAAGAAGTTATGAACTGCACTGTCTCCATATGAACGTGTCATGAACACAAGAACATTTTGCATTTATTGCCAAGATCTTCATATTATAATCAGAAACCTGCAAAATATTACTGTCGTACATAAAGATCTTATCTAAAGGCTTAAACAAGAATAAAGGAACTATATGCTATCAATAACAGGAAATATAATGTTTATCAGGATTATAGAAATACATATGTTTGATAACTTTTAAATGCTTTGAAACTTATTAGCTAAATGATAATAATCTACTTAATATGAAATAATATTCTACAATATAGAATTATTGAGGAGTGTTAATTAAAATCCTTGGGTTTACTAAGAAAATAAATTACATAAGCATTAAACAAATCTCAGTTCAAATTTATGTATTAACCTTCTCATTTGTGGTGTCAAAAATCAAGATCCGAAAGAGATTAAAATGACCTACTGACACCTACTAATTGTTTTTATAAACTGTATTAATCTATCACATGAGAAACTTGCAATATTTTCACATGATGCTTCTAAAATAGCATAATAATATACTGGTAAAGTAAAATGGAGAAAAGAATACTCTTTTTTCAAACAATTTCATAACAACATATCCTTCATAAGAAGAAACAGGGTATTTTACATCAATAGGTAAAAAATTACAATCCCTTTTCACATGAATTTTTAAGCACTATAATTAGATAAAATATTAACAGATGACTTCAAGAATAATATCAAAATCTAAAATCCCAACAAACACTGTAATTCGTTTTTAAATAATACTGCAAATGAATCCAACTAGTTATCTTTTTTCAGATCCTGATTTTTGACAACAAAACACAAATGAGAATGTTATGCACCAAAGATGTAATTTATTATGAAAACCAGAGAGAAATTTAACTAACATATTCTTCTCTGTTTACTATTATATAATTCGGAACTTAATTCCAATTAAATTTTTCGAATGTTTTAGGTGCCATGAACATATTTCCATGATACATAAAAAATATTGGAACTACTCTGATATGCGCCCTCAAGGCGCCAAATTTCTCGCCAAATATTTTTGGCGAGAAACTCCACGCTGTCATATTGCTATCTAAATTTTTTGTCTACATTTCGAACTTTAAGCCTAAAATGCCTCCAAAAACACGGTTTTCGCGAATGCAAAAACCACGTTTTGAACACACAATTTAAGCTAAAAATCCGAACCAAAAACAAAAAATTTAGATAGCAAAACCGTGAAGTTTCTAACCAACATTATTTGACAAGAGTCCATGTACACAGGGATATGTTTTAACTTAAAAAAACATCTATGAATGGCACCATCTAGACAACGAACGAATTTACGAACTACGCACACCTCGCTTTAATAAGTTAACATAACAACAATAAAGTTCAAAGAATACCACGTACACAGCGTTCTGTTTCAACTTTAAAAAACATCTACGAATTTCACAATTTAGACGTTACGCACTAATCAACAAAATAACTAAAATAAATTTTTTGAAATTTATTCAAAAAAACAACAATAACGACAGAAATTCATACTAAAAAAAACAATAAAAATAACATTCTACAAAATAACAACAAGAATAAAACAAAATGCACTTATCATTAATGCTTTTTCGAACAATAGAAATACCAATTTCATACCGCCTTTAATATACCGCCACGTAATCACTATCGTATTTATATGACAGCCAGACACACTATCCAGAAAATTCATACTATGGTTCACGAATAAATAAATAAAATAACAAATTAATCACAAATCCCTACTTCTATCACGCACACATCCACTAAAATAATCTCCCATACCTTCTTTCCACACCTCCAAATACCCATTGCCCCTCAACCAGAAAGGCTACGACGATATTTCCTTATGCTGAACTTCAATTCAACAATTTTCACCATTAAATCTTTGCCCCCTAGCTTCTCAGACACAAAGTATGACGGGAACCAACGAACTCCAGCGAAAGATTTTTCAACGTCAACAGGGTTGCCATATATAACACTAAACCGCGCCAAAAACGACCGCAGAACACATATCGCCACATTTGGTGAAATTAGGGCGTATATCAGAGTTGTACCAAAATATTAAGCAGAAAATTATTCGTTAAGTATAGACGAATTCATAAAAAATGTTTGAATGTTTCTACAACTGAAATTGATCAGAAAACCAGAAATCACGACACATGTAGAATATATAAACATAAATTATAGAATAACTGATTAAGCTATTTACAATTTTAGACTGAAATTTCAACAATTCAAATAAGTAACTTACTCTTAGCTCAGGCGGCAATTCAGTAAAATATAAGTCTTCGAACAAAAGCTGTTAGTTCAGAACAGAATACAACTGTTTATCTCCCCTAAATAACTTTATAAACTGCTTAACAGATAATGCAAACGTATCCAGTTTGCTTCGGAACATTCTTCTTTGAATGGAATTACGATGATGTATTCAGTTTAAAATATACATCGCTAAATATTCATCCGACGCCATTACTTTTCGATCGCAAGATTTTTAAACGGTTGCACATAAGCAGCCGAAAACCAGACGATCGCTACGCCGCACGAAATGGTTTCGATCGGTGCTGGAGGATTGCAAATTGTCGCTCCGCACGAAAAACCCGTCATATGTGACGTCACTCTCGTATCGAGATCTCGTCGCACGCAAGTAGGATAGGGCCCCCAGAGTGGATTGTACTTCAAGCAGGAATGATTTTCGCCCATCCGTGCTAAAAGACTTAGCGGGGTGCAACACAAGACATCTGTTTGCTTTGTATGTGTGTTATTTTGAGTCTCTGTATACTGACAGCGATGTAAATGAAACGAAGTATATAGACTGTTTTTTATGGTTTGCACTGTGTTTTTTGGGATTTCCTTCACGTATAATTTCACTTGCAAGTAGCCTTATAGGCTTTGCTATATCTATTAATCCATCTATCTAGTTATACTTTTCAACTCTTTGATTAATCTTCCACTTTTCATAAGCTAGCAATGATGAATGACTTATAATGTATGAGGTGAAATATGATACTTAGATGAGGAATATAAGTTGATTTTAAAGTGTTGAGTAAGTAGCGTCAATGAAGTTAGATTCAGTGTACGTTTAGCAAATCTGACTATTAACCCTCCAAGCAGCCGTGTCATATTTGTCGTTTGACTTCTGAATTAGTACTTAAGTAACTATTTGAAAGTTTTTTGGGTTTTCATCCGCAGAGAACCCGTTGGCGCTTCGGGAAAGAACCCTTTGGCGCAGTTGCAGTTTTACTCGCCAATGAGCCGAGCCATAAGCATATTTTGTAAACGTGGTTTTTAGTGATGTAAATTCAAGTTAGCAGACAATGGTAGTAAAAATTCACAGATAATAAGTATGTAGATATGAAACTAACAGGTTTTAAACGTGATATATACGAAAATAATTTCTAAATTCAAGTTAGCACAGAAAACAATATATTAAATATAAAGGGAAGTAAAAATTCATTTAAAAAATAAAAGTTAGTATTCTTATCTTACATTTACTTACTTATATGTATTTTCTCTATTCATATAGAATACTATATTTTCTATTACAAATGTCTTTTTTCACTATTAAGTACTCTGCTTGTTGACTGATGTATTTCGGTAAGAGCCATGCTCATGTAATAAATTAATGAATGCATGACCTTTAGTACATCCATTTTACAAAAAGTTTTCAGTAAAATATATATATCTTTTTCAAGTTACTTGCATACAGCTTAAAGCATTTTACGTTGAAACAAATACCTAGTCCTTTTTCATAATATATTTCACAATACAAATAACCTTCAACAGTAATCAAATTTTCTTCGGTAGCAGCATTTTTAATAAAACTAGAACTTCTATACATTTTAAAATTATTTATAGGGGTTGGAAACCTCATGGTTCTGTGTGCTTACAGCTGTTAATGATTAAGAACATAATGTGAACAGCCATGTTTACAAATTAGCATTCACCCTTCCTGCCATATTTTCTTCCTTTAATCCCGACTGACGCCCCGAGACCGGTCTATCTTTACGACGAAAACTTCTTTTTACGAAAATATTTCTATCTATTTGTTGTTAAAAATTCAGAAAAAATAATAATAAATAAGAGAAAATAATATAAATCTCCAAATGCGAAACGACAACCTTCGCATAAGCGAATAGGACGAATTAGCTAGGTTACCAGGTTTGAACTATTATCGCCAAAGTTGGCGATGTTTACATTTACCGGGTTCTCTGCGGAAGTGCTTCCAGTTTTTTAATTCATTTTTTATAAAGTTAATGCTTTAAAAGAATATAGGGTACTTTCTGATTATCCGTGCCTCTAACTGAAAAATCTTGAAGTCATTTGTGAATTTGGAGCACATTCGCAAACTTGGCAACTAATGTGCAAAAGGAAATGGCCTTCGTTGATCTTTACAATATAGTAACTGGTAGTTTGGCGACATTTTGGAGGCGATAAAGGTTACTACCTGGGACTTTGGTAATAATGTGAGCAGTACTCAGTTCCGATTACGCATTATTTTGTGTGAGGGAAATGAGAGATCATGGGATATGTCATGTGATATTAATGGACGAATTACGGTTCTTTAATTGGAAAAGGGGGGAAATCGGGAAACAACCTGGAAATTTTGTATTTGGCTTTATTCTGTGTTGTGTGAAACAGTGTTTCGTGAATTTTTGGATCCCATGGCCGTAATTAAAGTGAATTCGAAATGGGTATTTATGTATGTATTAATTTAATGTATGTGCTCATTTATATTTTAAGTAGTGTTTTTGAATTTAATTATATTTTTTTTAATTAAATGATAGTTTTTTGTGAATTTATGTTTGTAGGAATTTGGTATACTTTTTAGTTGAAGTAAACGTGCATGGAAATAATATAAATATCTGACATATATTGTTCTTTTTACCGGGGTTTAAAGATTGAGAAAAATTGTCATGTATTTTCGTGAAATTTTTTCTAATTTATGAGAAAAAAAGCAGTGTACATGGATATAGTGAAGAGTGTGCGCAATGCCATTTTTTGTGGCAATTCTGGGATGTTTTTTTAAGTAAAAATAAGTTGGTGTGTACATGGTTTATGTGTATGTGTTGTTTTGAAAAACGCGTAAGGAGTATGGTATTGTGCACTTTTTCCCAATTTTGCAGTGAATATTTGTCATGATTAAGCAGTTTTGTTAGATAAAATTTCTAGCATAAGTGTAATTCGGCTAGTAGATTATTGGAAGAAGTGTTCAGGAGATAAAAAGAAAAGAAACATGTCTACTTCGTGAAGACAAAATGGCGGCGGGAAAAAAAAAAAATAGAGGGTTGCTGTAGGAGAGTTGGTTGCCAAATTTTCGCCAAAAAATCGCCAAGTTACCATAATGTAAAGATCAACCATGGCCTTTTCAAAATTGAGCTGCATTGGAAATTCTATACATTAGCAATTGGTCAGTAAAATTGTAAAAGCAGTTGTAAAAACATCGGTTCTCCCCCCCCCAAATCCTTTTTTACCTTGTATTTCTTCCCATGTACATAATGATCTGTTTTTACCCACAAACACATCAGAGAATCTGACAAATTTGGTATTGCACAACATAGCATTATATACCAACCAAAACAGACGTGTACTGCATACATATCCGAGTTACCACACAGATACTTTTTCTCAACATCGGTTACCATTTTTGTGATTTTTCTTTGGGAATGCATGTAATCCGATAACATTGAATGCATCATTTTTGTACATTTGATTTCAACAAAATTTTGGGGTTTTGTTTAGAGCTTTAAAATTTTGGTTCATATTTACTGAAAATTCATTTGAGTAATAATGAAATGTGCGTCATGCTCAAAGTATTTCTTGTTGTGTATCAGAAAGGGTTGTCCATAATTTTTCTATGCTGGTCATTCATAACTAATTGTAAGATATGCTGCATGTGCTTTGTCTAGATGAATTTATAGTTACACTTAATAATGCATCATAAAAATTACAAAGATCTGTATTATCTCCAAAATGGTTAAGTTCAGTGTAGAAAAAAAATATTTATTTTCATATATAAATTGAATTAATGTGTACTAAAAAAATCACTTATGAATAAGTTCAATTTATATATCTGTTTCTGGACAAGAATTGGTATGGCAGATATTATTGCATTTTAGTGCCCAGTAAAGCATATGAAACTTGAATAAAACTAGTGTTGTTGCAAGATATTCCTGAATCTTTTTCTCATGACAGGCTAATTGTAACAATATAGTTTTTTCTCTAATTAATTTACCTAAAAGTAATACTTCTAGTGTGTTAAGATTCCTGTAAATTGATTATATTTTATTTTCTCCTCTAGATTTTATTAAACGATGTCTAATATAGCAGATGAAAAGAGAAGCAGACGCCGAGGATTGCTGAAGCAATATTATGGCGTTAAAGATGACAGCAAAGAAGGTTTTGATCCATACAATATTAATGCTCCGGAATTTAATCCAGATCTGTATTTACATAAGGTATTCTTTAAAATATAATGTAATTTTAATACTTTATGGCTGTGCATTTTTATGGTCATATATTTGTTTAGCTGCTGCTTGAATAAATAAAACTTGCAATAATAAAAGCTCTTTATTAATAATAGTGAGACGAACAGCTTTGAAACCCATTTTGCTGTTTCAGTAAGTTGCTTAATGGATGCTTATATTTTGAATCAAGAAAATACACGCATTCTCCATGGTCGGCAGTAATGACTTGCATACAGTACAAGGTGATCTAAAAAATCGCTTAACTTAAAATGTACACATACAGTACAAAGTCTTTAATCTGGACTCGTCAGGACTTCGGCGATTCCGGATTAGGGTTTTTTTTGGATTATAGATCATCAATTTAAATCTGGTAAGATGGCATGCAGAAATTATAAAATTAAAAATATGAAACTGTAATTTATGAAATAAAGAGCAATTATGATCTAAAGGGTATCAAAATTTACAAAAAAATCTTAATATTTATTTGTTTACTTTATTAAACATTTCTTTCAATGTAAGTTGTTTAAGTTGCTTCGTTTTTTGTGCTAATACTTTCTTTTTAATTCTATAAACAGACGTAATTACTTGTTCAATTCCACTGTTCAAGCCCTGTAATTGCTGTGTCGAGAATACCGACTAACTTGTCAATTGAAATTTTTTCATTTTCAGTAACCTCTCTGTCACTTTCTTCACTATCGGAAGTGGTACATCGAAATATGCTTTCACTTTGTAGATCTTTTGGCAGCTCCAGAATCTGAAACTCTTTTTGACATAATAGAAAATTCAAGCTTACTTTTTATAAAATTGCTCTAACAGTCTGCAAAAAATAACAAGCCGGATCCAATTAGAAGATTAAGGAACAACACAATCTGCAACATTAACTGAAATAGATAATTAGATAATTTTAGCCTAGCTTGTACCGTCCGTTATACAATAAACGCACATGCATAAACGTATTATGCGCATGAGTAGAAAGTTTGTAGCTTTGAGGTCCGAATTATGGACGTCCAGATTAAAGACTTTGTACTGTACTGATATTTATGGAAACTGCAGTGCCATGAAGGTATTATGCAAATTGAACCAAACTTACATGGAACGTAAAGTAAGGTAAGCCATGCAAATGATTAGAATTGCAAAGTGATTTTGTGTGTGGTGTGAAATGAAAACCGGCCACTTGTTTTATGTATATAAAAGACTAAGTTTACAGTGAAATCTGTTTATTGTCTTCTGTCTGATGTGAATGTTTAATTGGTGGTCAGTATGCCTCGTCAATGGCCGGGAGGGGAGGCTACCATACCAACAACTAACGGAGTTCGAATGAGGCAGCGTCATTGGTAAGTGAGAGGGTGGATTTTCGTATTGAGCAATGCAATCTACAGAAGCGTAATGTCACAACAGTGATGCGTTTTTAAAAGAATGGACAGTGGAGAACTAAATAAGGTGAAATCCTGGCGGTGGAGGCATGCAGTAGCACAGTGGCACTGGACAACAGATACCTCATCTGCATGGCTGTGACGAATGGTACAGCATTCTCTCGAGTGTTAGCACAACATTGGAGCAGGGCTACAAGTGTTGTGCTGTCTAGCTTCACGTTTTGTCACTGTCTGCCACAGCATGAACTGCGTGCAAAGGTTTCTGTATGCAGGCTTCCCCTGTCACTGATGCCTCTAACTTCAGTAGGCAGGGAACACAGTGCATGGCTTGCCCTGTGGCAACAAGTTGTTTTCTACAATGAATCTTGCTACAATCTGGTGTGCAATGATGAAAGAGTACCCATCAGAAGTCACAGAGGGAAATGTCTGCTCCCACATTGTGTTATCCAGGTTCATACTGGTCAAATGCCTGGCATCATGCTATGGGGAGCTGTTGCGTATAATTGTTGATCCCATCTAGTTCAGATTGCGGGGAACCTTAACAGTGATTGCTACATGAGGGAAGTTGTGGAGCCAGATGTCCTCCCAATTCTTCCATGCATTCTAAGCATAAAAAATTTTTGTTCAGCATTATAATGCCGTGCATGTGTTTCTCAGGCTGTACAAGTCTTCTTTAGGATACAACAGCATTCGCTTCTTCCATGGCGTGCTTATTCTCTGGAAATGTCGCCCATTGAGTATGTCTAGGATTTCATCATTCGGTGACTCGCTTGTACAACTGGTGGGGCAGACTCTAAGACTGGACTTTGTTGTTAAATCAAAGCTATATGGAATGCTATTTCCAAGGATTACATTCAGTACCTGTGTGATTTACCTTTAGCATGTAATTTTAATGCCATCATGTGAACAGGCTCTCATTGCTCACTGTAGCAGACATGCATAGTACTAATTTCCAGCATTTGTTTTGTTTAGGTAAAAACATGCCAAACAGCAAAAATCAGCATTACATTTGGCAAATTTTCACAAGACTACTTTCCATGGATTTACCGAACCATCATTCTCAGCTGCCAAAGAGCAAATGAACGAGATAAGGTATAGTGATAAGATAAGAATGGCTGGACTGGAGGTAAGCCACTGGTGCCATCTGTTGATGAAACAAGAGAACTAAAACCTAATTTCCTTAAAGGCTGAAGGTAAAGATGGCAGATTTGCCACTCTACCTGGAAAACCAGAAAAAGTCAGGGAATTCGCAAATTGACCAAAAATGTCAGAGAAAAGTCAAGGAATTTAAATATTTTAGTCAACATTTGGGAAACTTAGGGGAATGTCATACGGTGATCCCGCCAAAAGTGAGTTTAGCGCCAGTGTTGGAAACCATCATTTTGTTGGCGAATTATGTATCGGATGAGCGTCACTCGGGCAGCTGGCGTATAACCAATTTTCACAGCTCCAAATTAGATTGTCTTTTAGAAAGGCAAAGCAAGTTTCCGGCAAGTTTGGTTTCCAGTAGCCGCGAGAATCCTAAGACTCGCATGTTCAGATTATGCTGAAGTAAGGAAAATACCTTCCCATTCTCGTATACAACAAAATCGGTTTAATCCTAATATATGGTACCATGGAGGCTAGAATAGCCCCCATGTACTCTGTTCTAATGTAAGAATGTCAATGTAAAGAAAGAAAGGTTCCATAGACGTAATGTAAATCAGTTTGCTAGAGTGCCGCTAGAAAGCAGATGGAAAAACTCGCCAAGGGGATGGTGATGGAACCTGATGGCGAGAATTTTCCCCTTCGTAATGTGTATAGGAAATTGTGGAGCATGAGTTCAGAAGAAACATTCTTTGACCTTCGTGATAATTTATACTCAGATTTTTGTACTTTTTTCTCAAAATAGCTAATCTATTAATTAATTTACTTGGGCAAAAAATATTTTCTTTTCCTTTAAAGTGTAAGGAAAGTTAAAACGATATTCGTTTTAAGTACTCTTGATAAACTTGCCCTTCGAATTTCGCAAGCTTCGGCGACAGATATTTCATGCATATGGAGCTGTTTCTCTCTACGTTGGGATGGAGCCATTTCTGTTGCAGAGAAGTTTTTATATCTTAACAATACATATTTGTTTTATTCTAACCTCCATGTATGGTACACATGGGATTTGGTGACATTATGATGAGCAGTAACAACAGTTACCTCTTTCTGTCTGTCTCTTAGTCTCTGTTTAAGAAGGTGTTGGGCAGTAAACCGGTCATTTTGGTGTTGCGGCAGTTTTCAAAATTGTACCAAGGCCGTAGCAAAGACTAGGATTTTATCGCAAAATCTTTTTAAACTTTTTTTTTAAATTTTAATAAATGCCTTATTTTTCATTTTGCAGTAAAATAAAAAAATAGTAATCAGTCATCTAGGCTAACATTTAATATGACTATATTCGCCAAAATATCATTGATTATTGTAATTCAGTTTTTAAGTAATTGATTTCATTTTAATGATATTTATATCATTTAATGTTCTTCTTTCCTCTAAATTTATTTATTATTAGTTAATACTTTCAAATTTCAAGCAAATTTCTCTGGCATAATGATGAAACTAAATCTAGCAGTATGATGACATACTATCACGAAATTTAATGCACATATTTTTATTTATGTATGCTGCTAAATAAATATAAAATACCTGAATTTATTTAAAAATATCATTAAATAGATTTATTTCTTTCATTTAGCTGCAAAATGTCTGCAAAAAACTCATTTTTAAATCCATATTGGGCAGATTCTAATCTCAATCTTCAGTGGAGAAAACAACACCTATTATAGCTAGAATAGTAATGCTTTCAGGATTATATATATAATAAGTCATATGCAATTGGCAAATTTTTGTGTTTTCAAATGGTACGATAATTAATTTACCTCTCAACGCAGCCAACACGTACTATGAGGATAGACTGGAATTTTCTCAAAACACACCTGGAAAAGTCAGGGAATTTCATTCTCCTCTTTAAGTGGCAACCCTGAAATGGATTGGAATAAGGGTCCTTAACTAGAACAGATTTTTTGAATGTGAAACATCTCTGGAAAATCTAATTCACCAATGGTAGATGTCAGCTATTTTATGAATAATTTTGGCTGCAAAAAAAATGGAAACCATGATATTCAGACCAACATTGTTGGGCAACAGAGGACTTCTGTGTTTCCTAACATATGCTTCATGTGCTTTAGCACGTAATTTTAAGACTCTCTTAGTTTAACCAATGTGAAGTAAATTGCGCTGGCAAAGAATCCTGTATATACCCCAGGAATTCATATCCGGAATGGGGTCCTTAAGTATGGAACTTGGAATTTTATTGATAGGAGAATAAATGACCCGGAAGTTAAGTTTCTGTAAAGTACATGCAATTTTATAGTTAATTAATGGAAGGAAAGGAATGACAAGAGAATTCTTATAATCTCCTAAAACAAGAGTGTGCATTTTGGTATGTTGTTTGACTTCTAAAGCAAAATGAAGCAACATCTAGCACAGCAGATGCTCTCTCCAGACTTATATAGTTTTCAACTGGCCGCTGAGATATTTCTAGTACCTTCTGCTTCTCAACATTACTCGAAAGCAATATGAGGGTAGAATTACAGT